GGAGGTGGCAGCAGAATGGTGGTGATAGGTGGACACCAGTAGTAGGTACGACCTGGCTGGTAAATGGGAGGGATTAATCTGGTTGGTAGCTGGAAGGGACAGTCAGCTGGTGAAATGGAAGGGAAGAGATGGAGCTGGAACCGGAACCAGGGAACGGGTGGGAAGGTTATTTGAAATTAGAGAACTCAATGTTGATTCCACCGGGCTGTAGGGTGTCTAGGTGGAAGATAAGGTGTTCTGAATTACTGCGACACTGGAACAGGCTGAGGGCGGACATGTGGAGCGGGAAGGGAGGGTTGAAATGGCCGGTGACTAGGAGGTTAGGCTGGCCATTTCGGGCCAGGAGAAAATGCTCAGCGAGATAGTTACCTAGTCTACGTTTGGTCTCACCGGCATAGAGAAGACCACATCAGGAGCACCAGATGCAACAGACTAGGTTGGAGGAGATGCAGGTGAAGCTCTGTTTCACCTGGAAGGACTGTTTAGGGCCCTGGATTGAGGTGCTGTATGGGCAGGTGTTGCATCTTTTACAGTTACAGAGGAAGGGGCTGGCAGGGGTATGTTTAGAGTGGTTGATGGTGAGTGTGGCACGAACTAAGGAGTAGCAAAGGGAACGGCCCTTGTGGAAGGCAGACAAGAGTGGGGAGTGGAAGATGTTCCAGGTGGTGGGGTCTAATTGGAGCTGATGGAAGTGTTTGAGGATGATACGTTGGATGCAGAGGCTGGTGGGATGGAAAATGAGGACAAGAAGGACCTCCCTTGGATTCCAGCATCTGCAGTTTATTTGTCTCTTGGAAATTAACATGCTAAGTGAAAACTCTCCAACTCCAAATCTGGCTGCTGCCTAAAATTCTTTAGCATGCTGGCAGAAAATAATGTGAGGTGGTGAGATTTTCTGGTATACTGGTGAGAATGGCAAGCGACAATTTACTGCGCTCTATGTTTAACTGGACATTTCAATATTGAGTTGAGTTATCATCTACGTATTCTATAGTGCAATATTTTCTCAGAATCAAACTATAAAATATTTCAATAAACTACAAATAATTGAATCAATCTTTAGTAAGATCATCGTTACACATTAACAGCACAAAGGTGACATCATTACAATACCTTATTACTGAAGGGATAAAGAGAGAAGCAAAGCTACAAAAATGATTTAAGGCCATAACCTGAAATTGGAGTTTAAATGACCGTCAAACATGGCTTAAATTATACTTGCAGTTCGTGATGTCATCTGAACCCCTTGATAAGGCTGCTACCTTGTAATGTTGATATCCATTACTGATTTTCTGGATGATGTTAAAAAGACAATCATGAAGTATTACTTGCCTCCAGGCCTGTAGACAACATCGTCCTCTGTTACAAATGAAGTTATATCACCGGTCTCTGCTCTCTCATAACGCGATTTCTTTTTCGGTGGTTTCTTTATTTTTGACTTCTTCCCCGCATCCTCATTAGTAGCACTGTCCTTGTCGTTTTCTTCATCTTCAGTGTGGTCACTTTCTGCATAATTCTTAGCACCTCCTTCCAAAGTACAGCTGCGACGCGGCCTGGAATGCTCATTCTCTCGTTTATCCCTTCTCTCTCTCTCCTTGTCCCGATCACGATCTTTCTCTTTATCTGCCGTCATGATTCGCCACGTTCCTTCCTCTGTCCTCTCACGGCTTGGCCTCCGTGAAAGGTAGACAGTAAGCCTGGGCTTCAGTCTTCTGAATTTAATGCTCAATTCCAGGAAAAATCCAGCCACTCCAACAACCCCAAAACGTTACCAACTGCTGGGGAAAAAAAGACAGAAGCGGATTACAAAATTATGTTCACAAAACAGTACATTCCAAATATGTACCTATCCATTTAGCTGAAAGGTAGCAGGAAAGAAGAACAAAAGGAATAGAAGTGCTATCACAATGACATAGAGCTTGCCAGTTGAAAAATCAGCATTTTCACCCTAGTCCAAGAATAATCAAGGTGGAAATCATCCAAGTTTGAACTGGTTGAACCCAAGAGACAATTTACCTTTCCCTTCTTCTATAATGATAACTACATCGCCTCCATTCAGCTTCATCTGTGACAAAGATGAAGAACTTTGCCAAATAAAAGGACCTGTTTGCTTCTAATACTGCCTTGCAAAATGTGCATGCCTAACACTGCATTTACACTGTAATCGAACTTCACTGATGCTTATCACAGATTGATTAGCAAGAGAATCAAAAGTTACGAGGAGAAGACGGGGG